CGGCTTGGACCTTACCGTGGACCACCCCCACCTACCCCCTTTCGCCACCTCCGAATGAGTTGCCTCTCACCACCTGTTGAGTTCCCGTCCTCCGCCCACTGTATCTCTACAGCCGGAGGCCGCCATGCGCAGCCTCGGGACCGCCATGCTCTCAAAGGGCCTAGGCTCCGCACAACACGGCGTTCCCGTAGCGAAGGACGACACCATGAAGACGATGTCCTTCTACGAGGTGTAGAGTTGCCCTCGCTCCGCACCTTGGAATTGCCTAACCCGCTTCTCAGACGTATGGCAGTAGGATTATGAACGAGAGGGTTTTTGAAACCACGGTGCCCTATCTTCTGAATATACAGGGGGGCTCATAGCCGTGCATGCCGTAGTTGACCTCGCATCCCTACAACGTTTCAACGGATCACGCCGGGCTCGCCGGACTAGACTCTTACGTCACCAATGAGGGGTTGTAACTTGATCTCGTGCCCCCCTAACGTCCGAAGCGAAGAGACAAAAGGTCTTACGCTGCACCTGCTGTCGAGCGCATGCAACTATTCCTTGCAATGGTATGTGTAGACCGATGGAGACTAATGTTGATGCACGCGACCTCTGTTGGGTTGTGACTGTGTCCTTTTATTCCTTGCAATGTATGTGTAGACCGATGAAGACTAATGTTGATGCACGCGACCTCTGTTGGGTTGTGACTGTGTCCTTATCGGAAGCGCTTATCGAGCGGGCCTAGAGTGCAGCAATCCAAAGTGTCATTGCGAAGCTGCATACGATGTGCATCACCATTTCATTAATATATTGAACCGTTTTGCTCTCCGCCCTTTCGCGCTAGTGTTCCACTTGTCTGACCCTTCAGCTAGCTCCCGTGGTATTTGGCGCATTTGGTCTAATACCCGCGTGTGCCATCACGTCGTGATAACTGCTGCTGTCCATGTTCGCTCCGCCCCTTTTTGTATCCCTGCGCGTTTCCAGCTCACCAACTCCTAAATTTACTCTGGTGCATCCAACAATCTAGCGTATTTCCCGCTAAGCACCACGACCCCCCCCCTCTCCCCCCCCAACGCGGCGACATGGACTGATCGTCTTTTGAAGGTTCTGCAGCCGACTATGGAGGTAGCTCTGCAGGAGATGGAGCTGTACGTCTCGAGGAATGTAATCAACGCGAGGAGGCTAACGCCAGGCCACAAAACGTCAAACAAGAGCGGCCCCGACAAGTACCGCACCTTCCCCATGGTCAAAGAATTCCTGGAGAAGGCCTTTGATGGAAAGCACAGCGGCGGCGACAAGTACCATGTCATCCGCCACACGTATGTTGCTATTGTTTCGATATGCTGACCGTAACTCTGTGACAGGCGTATTCTTCAACCCATCCCTGTCTCCCGCGGCGTTCGTAAGTTTATTTGTCTGGCACAAAAGCGGTCCTGCAAGGTCTGCCCCAAAGTTTTTACCGTTAGTTGCTTTCTCTGTGGCTTGTCTCCCGCTCAAGTGTTCATTATTTCGCCGCAGGTTCAGGGGGCCCTGTAACCGCTCCTAGGCATGAGTCGAGACGCATTTGGTTGACGGGAGGTTTCTGAGTGATGGACCTCCCGCACGTTCATAAACTGGCGGTATAATCGTTTTTTCTTATCTCGGCTTCTGGGGCAAGTTCGTGGAATTCGGTGAGGAATACCTCGGCGACATCCCCGAGCCCGACAGCATTCGAAGTGCGGAGGATGCGAGGCACTACCTCAAGCCATACCTATTCGAGGACAAAGGAGAGAGCGGAGGGTCCCAGGGGAACGGGCGCAGAGGGTCCCAGGAAAACGGAAGCGGAAGGTCCCAGGAGAACGGGGGCGGAGGCGGGGGTGAAGACTGGGGTGGAGGGACCGCCAAAGACGGAGACGGGGATGGTTCTTCATCTCCGGGCCAGAACAGGGATGGTAATCGTGACGACGCGGAGTCCGAATCCTCGGTGGAACTCTAAGCCGTGTGGCAAGGTGTGTTTCGGCCTGGTATATGTTTCGCACCCTCTTTGAAACGCGCCCCTTTCCTCCCTCTGCCTGCGATGAAGTTGGATGTTTGCGTGTGTTTTTCCGGACTGTTTGTCTTGCACGCGGTGCCCCTCACACTATGTACCCCATTACAGGGTGCCTGTTCGCCCTCGGGATTTTTTTTTTACAACATTACCTAGCCCCCCTTCAGTTCTACAGACTTGCGTAGATCGCTCCGTCGTTTTCCACTACCCGCCTTTGCCTGACACTTGAATCAAATTTCGCTTCCGGTCGTTAACCTCCAGGTCCAGTCGCCCGGATCTCCGCTGCTTCGTCGTGCAACGCGTGGCCTGGGTGCTTATTACGTCCACAACTGCACGAAGCGTTGCAGGAGGAGACAGAGAAACATTTGACTCCCCTTNCGCCCGGATCTCCGCTGCTTCGTCGTGCAACGCGTGGCCCGGGTCCTTCTTACGTCTACAACTGCACAAAGCGTTGTAGGAGGAGGCAGAGAAACGTTTGACTCCCCTTAATTAAAGTTTCATTTGAATCACACATTGCTGTGATAGGTTTGTCGCTCTCGCTGGCGCGGGATGAGAGTCGTGTATTTCCTTAGCATTTGCGACGGCGTTTGGGATCCGTAGCCTCTGCCTCTTGTTCTCCTCGCCGTTGTTGTTCATTCATACGAACCCTACCTGCAAGAGGGGGGGTATACTCAACAGTTGCGCATGCAGGGGTGGGGTGGGGGGGCACTTTTAATGTGGTCCTCCGAGCGTACACACGTGTCTTACCGCAGTCTCCGCAGTACTCCCGTTAGGAATGATGTCTGAATATGTTATTTTGAATCACACAATGCTGTGCTATGTCGCCCTCGCTGGCGCGGGATGCGAGCCACGTGTTTTCTTAACTGCGTCTGCGACGGCGTTTGGGATCTGTGTGGCTTCTGCCTCTTTTCTTCTTGTCCGTTTTCATGGTGTATTCACATGCAGTCGAACCCTAGCAAGGGAGAGGGGGCATTTTTATGTGGTGTTCGGAGCGTAGATACTGTACTGCAGTACTCCTGTTAAGCATGATGCCTTGCCGTTTTCTTTTTAAGTCTTTAAGTCATACAACGCTGCGATGTGTCGCTCTCGTTGGCGCGGGATGCGAGTCGAGGGTTTTCTTTACTGCGTGTGCGACGGCGTTTGGGATCTGTGTGGCTTCTGCCCCTTGTCCTCTTCGCCGTTTTTATTTTTCATTGTTGATACTTGACGAACCCTAAGGGGCGTCGTAAGTTCTTAGAGCAGTGCTTCGGGGGCGAAACGTAAAAGGTTAGATATATTGTCGGGAGAGGATATTTTTGAGCTAACCTTGTGTATCATCTCCATGATGGACTTCGCTGGTGGTGCGGGGGAAATTCGATGCTGTACGAGTATAATTCTAGTTGAAATATTCCATCGAGTTTCATGCCCGCATCAAAAGAAAAAAAGGGAGAAATACATGTGAAAACCCAAGTGGCAGGGGGGATTGAACCCGCTACCACAGGACTCCCAAGTATCTAGGCGACCGGCTTGCAAGCAGTGGACCAACCTCCAAGAAAGGGTACACCTAGCGCTACTATCGGCAACCTGCCCCCTGATCGGCCTGCTGCAAGTAGTGAGCCAACCTGCAAGAAAGGGTACACCTTGTGCTGCCATCGGCAACCTGCCCCCTACTCGGCTTGTAGGTAGTGGACCAACCTGCAAGAAAGGGTACACCTTGTGCTGCGTTCGACAAACTTGGCCCCTCTCCAGCTTGCGAGCAGTGGGCCAACATGCAAGAAAGGGTACACCTTGCGCCGCCATCGGCAGTCCGCCCCCTGTCCAGCTTGTTAGCAGTGCACCAACCATCAAGAAAAGGTACACTTGCACCGACAGTGGCAATCTAGCCCCAATCCGGCTTGTCCGCAGTGCGCAACCCCCAAGCAAGGTATACCTTGCACAACCTGGCCATCATTGCATTGCGAGGATTACCCAAGGTGGGGAGGTTGCAACTCGTGCCAAAATAAATCTCATTCAGGTTGGCAAAAGTGCCCCTACAACCCGGTCTGTTGGCCACCCGTAAAGTTACACTACAACACGGCCTGTGGGTTCCAAGTACAAGTAGATACATGACTCGACCCCGCTGGTACAAAGAATTTCGGCGAAGCGAACACATGCATACCTTCTATATACATGTACACACATGCCAAAACCCCGAGTCTTTTCGGGCAATTAACTGTGTAGGCGGAGGAGACACGTAGTCGAATTCCACTTTCCCTTGATCCGACCCAATTCATCAATCAACTTTTGCGTGGTAGTGGGAGCTCGTACTACGGTCACCCCACTCTCTCTTTTTTGTAGACTACACCTGGCAGAAAAAGAAGGGCAAATATGTCCTCGTTGATGACTCACCAGAAGGGAACGCACACGCCCTCGGTTCAGCTGCGTATGGTGCTAAATGCAGCGATACGAACGGACTTAAATCGTGGCGCCCCGGCGAGCAAGCGCAGATATCGCTTTCCAGTAACAAGCCAGCGAAATGACAACGCGTAAGGTCGCTCAGACTCCAAACAACAATGGAAACATCGGGTATTAACCTAGGTTACACGCCTTTGAAGGCTGCTTGTAGCAACAACGTCTTTGCCTTCAAAAAACGCCTCCATGGCACAGACGTCGCTCCTTCGTATACCAACGTCAGAATACCAAGAGGCTGCAAAGAGATTTGAAGAGCATTCCCTGCGCCCGCGCAAACCCAAGTACATGTTCTGAACCTAACGATGACTGAATTCGTCACCGCATTGAACACGTAAAACGCCACATGAAAATATCAAAGTCGAGCTATGTACTAGGGCACCCACCGATCTTCGTCTTTACGTGGCGCTCACAATCTTATATACCTCAGAGGGTTACCAAAAACAACAGCGTGTGCGCATCTCGTAGCAAATTCCGGAAGCAGGTCTTGAAACAAATATTGAATAACAAGTTACAATACTGCTTTCCTTCCAGTTGCTCTGATGTGAGCCTCGTCGGCTGCACTGCGGCGGATCAAGCTGTGGTGTTACGTTCACCTCCGTAATAAACAAACAGGGAATACAGCAGCATGCGCAAAAGGCGCAAAACCACCCGCGCACACTACCCGTGCCTTCCTACCGCAGGTCGGCAGGACAACCAAGGTCAGCTGGTCTCCAACACGACTCTGCTCCGCGGTTGGGTACCCCCCCATCGCAAGATTCAGGAGGTCTAGGCGGGGACACGCACAACACCGATCTTGGCGTTGGAGTGGGGGTGGGCCTCTTGAGGACGTATTGACGGGAAGACAATGCTGCAGTGTTGCGCTGTAGGTGCTTTGGAGTATGGGGCCAAGTCGCAGTGTTCCGCCGGGTCGAACGCAACATTATCCCCCAAGTTGTCCTCGAAGTCGATGCCGGGCTTCTGGAGGGTCATCTGCGTTTCATGGGCCAGACATGTTGCGGGTTTGTTGTTGCGAAACGTAACGGCATGCTCGTACACTTTGAGGTTGACCTGATCAGCTGGAGCGAACAAACCCATCGTTTTGTGCGGATCGGAAATACGGAGTTCCGATTTAACACGTTGAAGGTGGACAATAGCGTCGGGGTATCTGGCTTCAGGAACGATGCGCCAAAGTAGATAAATTGAGAGGTGTTCACCCGGAGGGGCCGTGCAGCGAAGTTGGGGACAACCTTGTGCGTGACACATGCCGCCCCCTCGATTCAAGAAATCGCCCTTGTCGTGCAGTGCGAATCATTCAGCTAAACTCCCTCTTCCTTGTCGCCACGACGTTCGACTCACAGAAAAGGCCTTGCCTTGTCAGAAACAACGCCATCATGTTAACACACCTCGACGAAAACCAGCAAGTAGTTCTTCATGAGAGCCTCGAAGGAAGGCCACGTGGCACCAGACATAATCTCGTTGGCGAGGCCCCTGTCCGCAGGCTCCCCGCAGCGCTGAAGGATAAGCCCAGCCAGCTCATCCATGCGGTCTGGCTCCGTCGACACGATCGTCCGGTACTTCCTGCAGAGGCATTCGTACAGCACGTACTGCGTGTCCAGGCTCTTCTCGTCGCCGGCCGACAGCAGAATGGGCTCGTCGTTGCCCAGGAACGCCGACAGGTTCTGTAGTCTCTCGTCCAAGCACCGCTGCACCTCCTCCCTGCAGACCAGGAAAGTATTGTACAGGACACTCCGTGTCGTCCCGTACCAGGCCTGGCGGGACCCGCCGACGGCGAAAGCTTTCTCGGTCCACGCGAGCGCGTCGTCCGCCAGGTGCCCCACGTGCTGGTACACGTCGCGGACGCCGGGGAAGGCGCCAGGGCGTAGCCCGCCGCCGCTCGACCGATGAATCAGGGTCTCAGCCTTGACGCGCCTGGTGTGTTCAGTCTCGAGGTCCCTCCTGCGGTGCAAGATGCCGGGCACGGACGTGAAGCGAAACGCCAACCAAAACGCAAGGCAGCTGTTGAGGAACAATCCAATCATGAGCGCGCTGACGCCGTTGACGAACAGCTGTTACTGAGAGCCGATCCCGTCGCAAACACGTTAATGCGATACTCTAGATGAATGCGCCCAAGTTTTTCTCCTCACGGCAAAATCGTACACGCGATCATGAGCTAGACCTGCTAAAATAGGTGCCCACTCCACACCACTGTCGATAGGCCAAACGGTACAGGGAGTTGTTGAGGAACCTGAGGGGCACCGCCGACAAAATAGACACCATGTGACTGATCGAAAAAACAATGTTCAAAAACATCCAGCAGCCTGCGCAGAGATTGGGAAGGGAGTCGCAGTTAATCTCCAGTTTCGCCACACCGGAAACCGTACGTGCCGTCCTCCTCAGTCACAGTGCCACTGGGGAAGACCGTTATTCCCTCCTGTATGGCAGCCCCCGCCCACCCATCCGAATCAAACGCGACAGGGTTCTACGGCATGGGCTGCACGGGGGTGTCTAGTGAAAAACCTATGAAGGGGATGTTCCTCGCGACGCTTCGTGTTAGTTCCATGCACGTCACACGCGGTGAACACAAAACTGGACGAAAAAAAACTCGAACGCCACCTGTCCGGCGTGGAAAGCACGAGTGGGCCGTTAAACGCAGCACTTGCATCCCATTGCTCATCGCGCTCAGCAGGTACCCATACGGAACTGCAGCCTTATCGGAAAGAGAGTGATGACGAAGAAGCCGGTTCGACCCTTGCGTCGAGCTCAACAACTGTCCATCCACTATTGCGTCCGCGATAGGTACCTCGCAACATCGTGTCGGAGTTTCGGCCGCACGGCCCCTGACAGGCTGGGTAAGGAAGCTACAACCATGTTCGAAGACGTGTAGCCACTCGACGCTGTTCCCGTGACCGGGATGCCCACACAAACAACTGCGGCCCTCTCCCACCATGCGAATGGACACACCACGTATACGCCAATATTGGTCGTGCGATACTCACCGAAGGCGGTCCACCTCAACGTCTTCAGTGGCGCCATAGCCGCCCGCGGGCGGAGTCGGAGGAGGTTTGCGCCTGCGGAGACAACACGCGAGCCAAGCTGCATTTCCCAGCACCAAAGCACCCAGGATGCCTGACAGCACGACAACCCCAGTCGTAGAAGCTGGCACGTGTACCAGGAGTTGGGGAAAACGAGCCCGCGGGGCAGTTAAGCACATGCACGCTCTTGCAGCTGAGATTCTCGCGTTTTAGAACCCCAAAGCCTGTAGTAGATGGTTCCTCCTCCAGATGCGTCAACAAAACCACGAAATTTGCGTAAGAGATAACGGTCGCGTGCGGACTTTGTGCGCCAACCCCGGTACCATCAACATGCACATAACCCACGTCCGGAAAAACTTGCTCAACGCGCGAGGAACAGCTTCCGACTCCGTGCCGAGCTGTATCCGACCTGCGGACAGGAGACAGCTTCGCTATAAAGGTCTAAAGTAAGGAGACTGTCGTTCAGCCATGTTAAGGTGCTCCCCCCCGGTCGTCATTGTTGCCAATTCTCAGTTGGGGTGCTGCGCGGCCTAAGGAAAAACAAGTGACAGCGTTGCGTATGTGTATCCCACACGAAAAACGTTACGGCCATAGTCCTTGGTGGGGGCGGATGTGCGGGCGTTCTGGTCCTCTGAGCCAAAAAAGCAGTCGGCACAAGGAAACTGCCAGCGACGACAGTTTAGACCTTGAGATGATGGGCCTGTGCACTCTGCTGTCCGCAAGGACAGAACAGCTTCCAATCTCGCTGCTGCGCGTGCGGCGCAAGCTGTGTGACCATGCCTGAAGATGACCATGTAAAATGGATGCACCGCGAACCGCTTTCGCATGAAGTTGTCGAGATCTTGCAATATAAATACACATCGGCTTGTTTCCATCGAGAATACACTGGGGAGGTACTCAAAGTCGTGCTTGCCTCAGTCGTTTGACCATCGACTTTGCTTCCCTACAAAGCCGGGATGGAGCACGCCGGGTTCTCACCGGACCAGGCTCTCACATCACCAAGCGCGAAGTGCTGTGAGGTATTCGGCGAGTCGCATGAAGAGTGTGCTGCATCCTGCTAAGGGTGTTCGGCAGAATAAGCTTGCTTCCGTGCGTACGGATGACAGCTGCGTAAAACTTAATTTATTTTCTGGTGCTTCACTTCCAGAGACAGTTATAAGCAGTGTGTAACTGCCTCGAGGGTGCTTGATCATTTCAACACGACGAGGTGTGATCATCCCCCTTGCGCGGAGTGAGGGTTCTTAACCTCGCACAACATAATCTACCCGACCACCATAAGGGTTACCGCAAAAAACACTTTTAACAAGAAAACAGCGGTAACCTGGTTGTCGAGCTCACAAAGCCATCGGCTTGTTCTACAACGTCGTTGCCAAGCGACGAGAACCCGACCCCGGTCACATACACCGGGGGGGGGCGATCGATTTCAGGATCTAAACTTGACAATGAAAAAAAACGCCTGGACTGTGCAACTCGCGCTCCAGGCCCTTTGCCTTCCCTATCAGGCAGAAAATGGCGTGTGTGTTTTTATAACCTACGCCAATTTTGAGCACCGGGGCTAGGTGAACCAACGGAACTCAAGACCCTTCACGACGGTGCAAGTTAGTAGAACGGTGAGCTCACGCAGCGACTGCTAAGACAGCGGCAGACGTGACGACGGCAAGGTGCCCGTACAACAGCTCGTTGGCGGAGGTGCATTCGAGAGGCGTCTCCTTGGGTGAGCATGTTCCGTCTATGTGGCGCGAGGCCGTGAGGCACTTACATTCTGAGTCTGGGATAGGCGACATCGTTGGTTCTGGCGTAGGCAGCACCGTTGGTTCTGTCGTAGACAGCACCGTTTCTGCTGGAAACATATCGAAAGGAGGAGAAGGGGCGATGGGTTCAGCTGGTAAAGGCACGAGTGCGGTGGCAAAGGTGCGAACAGGAGATCTGGTGGGGCTATTGCAGCAGCAGGGCGTTGGAGCAAGCGTTCGCGGGTCCTCTCGTCGGGGACCGCCCATGCTTTAGCCGCCCCCCGGCCCCGTCCTCCCCTGAACAGGTTCTCGGTCGACGGTATCAAGACGAAAACCTCTCGTCGACAACAACAACATGTAGCGTAGTTCACCTTTCTGCCATAGACAGAACCTACCGCCCCCCGCTGAACCCCAAGCTTGGAATATTCAATACCGGGAACTGTCTACCGTCGGGGGGTGGGGGCTGTCCTTCTTGCACCCGGTGGTCTACCAAGTACAGGGAGGAAAAACGCATGCTACTTGCGTCAAATATTTCTGCTAGGTGGTGCCTAATGTTAGGCCGTAGACCTCGGCGCGACACGAAAGAGGTAAAGACGCGCCCCTGGCACAGTTGCTTGACGGCGACAGACCGCAACGACGGCACCAAAGGTACCCGTTGCTTTTTTTCTGCGGAGCAACAACGTTGGGGGCGCCCCCTCCCATACTTTGCCGCCTGGCAGGAGACCCCTTAACCCTCATCGCCCCCCCCCGCTGACCTGATGTTGAGGGCGGGGATGTTGTATCCGCTGATGGCCCTCATGGGTTTGGTTCGACACAACACGAGCGAGACACACGCCAAGGGGGAAGTCGGGCGTGTTGTTAATCGTCTGTCGTGGCGTACATACAGTGGATGGTGGGGCCGGGTGTAGGGTTTCGTTCTGCATAAGGCCGCAGCGGCCTGCCGGAAAACACTGTCGGCATGGTTGTGACCTGAGAGCATCGGCATGAGTTGGGAAGACATCCCTGCGCTGTGCCGTGATGCTGTCCGCAAGGACGCCTGAGCCATCTACGCACAAGATGGAGAGCCACAATGCTTTCAAGGTGAAAGCCACACAATAGATGGTTCTCAACCACCACCGCTGCGGTAGGAGATTGCGACGTCGAAAACGACACCGGGTGCTTGACCGAGATCAGGCGACGATCGCCATGAGAGCCTGAAATTGATCAGAGAATCTACACTAGCCGCACTGACACGTGTGGGTCGCTTGCCAGGCGCCGTACCTCTAGGCACAACGAAACGCTCTGACGATGTCAAAGCAACAACTGAACCCTTGAGCGCTAGGCTTCCAGCGACAGAAGGAATCCTGCCCGTACTTGAGGAGGAGAATCATGCCCATGGAGGAAAATGCTCCAATCTAAGAGTTGAGAGACTTCGCGCTCCATGAACTAGGCACGGACGCGCTCGCGAGACGGTCGCTTGATAGACTGCAATGTGGGCAAAGGGTCTGTTGCTTCAAACAACGCTAGGGGCGGGCCCCCTTTCCCCCCTTTTCTGCCTGGCAGAAGACAGAATTACCGTCGGCAGGATTGGTGCCTTCGTCGTTTTCCGCTGGTGGGTCGGTAGACAAACAACACGAGAAGGAAGGCCAAGGTTTGATTTAATGTTGGGTCAGCGGGTCGAAGCACTAGGTGGTCGAGAAACTTGAGGAAAGTCGGGAAACAAACGTGGTCATGCGAAATATCCGCCTCGAAAGCCGGATTCAAAGGTAACCGCGCAAGTATCGGCATGCAGGTAAGGGGATTGCAAATCGGCTCGCCCCGGATCGCTTCGCCAACATGAAAACAAATCCCGTTGCCCATGCGCTAAGGCAGCTCTGCGGATGAACTGTGCTTCAGTCGAACAACGGATTTTTACATCGCGGCATCGTCGGCTCGGAGTGGCTGTCGAGCGAGATGCGAAAGTAGAAATAACGCATGTACGATTGCAGGTCGCTACCAAGCAAGCCACGGCCCCGACTGGCGTAGAGGAATGAAAGTTCTGGTGCGGGTCGTCTCCCGGCCGTATGTGCGCCTCTCATCCGCTTGGATACTGCTGTTGTTCGGTGCGCGCAAGTGAAGAAAGAAACACAAATTTGGCACACCCAATTCCTCCTAGCAGCAGCACGAATCGCGGGCGAAAGGTACCGTCCGACGTTTGCGCTTCAGCCCATCGAAACGTTTCGTTCCGCATACGTCCATCGGCCAAGGGCGTATCTGCTGTTCTCTGGTGAAAGCATTGGTGCATTTGTGCGGCTTGCTGCAGACGGTTCTTGCTGAGTATCGCGAGTACGATAGCACCGATGCTAAACACGATTTTAATACACCG